CATGAATTTCTCAACGGAGGTGCAATTTTGAAAGACTAAAATTTTTTAAAAATTTTGACAACCAAATAGCCTTATAATTTAAACAATACCAATTTCATTCATATGCCGAAAACGAAACTGGCACGACGATTGATGAAGAAGAAAAAAAAAACGCAGCATGTTTCATCATTTTTTTTCTTCTAGATTAACTATGAATTACATTCGAACGTACTTTGAAAGCTTGATCGATACAATATTTTCTTTCTTGGCACAAGACTTAATCGATAAATCAGTTTTTATAAAAGACTTAGAATTCAATTTTTTAAAAAAAACAACAATAATGGTTTTGGTATTGCCCAAGGACTGAATTAAAAAAATAATAATAAACTTGTCATTTTTGAAAAAATAAAATAAAATAAAAGAGAAAAGGAACCAGACCTAAAATTACTGAAATTCAAATTTTAAAGCAAAAGCAAGGACTCCATCTTTGTTGAAATTCATATTAGGATTTGGGATGGGGTATCTTGCATGATTAAAAACAAATTGGGATCTGCTGCATGTCAGTGATAATATCACCTTGCACGGCTTCTTCAAATTGGATTGGGAGGCTTCCGTTCCGTGTTGGCAGTTTGCAGGTTACTTTTTAATTTTATTTCATTTTGCCTGGCCCAAAACGACGTCGTTTTGGCCAGGACTTTTAAAAAAAAAATAAGGCGCTGCGCGCAACCCAGCAGCTCAGCAACACAGCTAGCGAAAGAAGAATATTGTTCGGGCATTTGCTCGAGCAGTTGGTGGGCACCAGAGCAGAGGGGCAACTCCAGCACCTCCAAAGCTTTTTCCGACGAGGGGAGGTGCACTTGCGCCTCTGTGGGTCCGCCACTGGATCAGGGCAAGATATATCCCTGCAAGTTCAAAAATTGTTGTATAGTATTGAAATATGGATCCGACCCTCTACACCGGCCGGGAAATGGATTGGTATATTATTTCAGTAATTAACCTCTCCACTCACCGCCCTTCTCAATGTACTCAATTGATTAAAAAAAAAAAAAAAACATAATCTACAGTATTTTGATTTGTATTGACACCCTGCTTATATTATGGTTCGAGGGGGCATAGATTTGTGGTTTTCAATGCAAGAGACTAATGTTGAGCATCTGTTTAGTTTCTTTTTATTTTATTTTATTTTTCAGATATATATAGGCTATAAAAAAATTTGTGCCCCCTATGTTATGGGCCCGGGCTGTGGCCCTGGTCGCCCTGGGCCAGAGCCGGCTTTGCTTTTGAGGCAAAACAAGTGAAGTGTAATGTTGTTTTATTTTTATTTTAGTTTATTGTTTTATTTGAAATGCTTTAAAAAAGTTTTTTTCTTAGGTCCTTAGACGTCATTTTACAAAGGGATAAATTTATCTTTAAAATTTTGAAAATAAAGTGGGTGGGAAAATAGGACAGGTGGGTGGAAATAGCAGCACTCATAATTTAATGACCAATATACATAGCCAAGTTATTCCATAAAGGATAACAACATCCAATATACTCTTGTAAACGTAGCCCTAGCCTAAACCACAATTTTGTCCTATTTATTTTCATGCCATAACTCTTTTCATATATTTTTTTTGAGTCACTACATTTTTTTCCTTTAATTTCTTTTTCATACGATCGATATCAAGAGAGGAGTGATTCGAATATAGGACATCATATGCAAAAGTAACTATTCTTAACCACTCAAATTACAAGCCTCTTGCTTTTTATGTTAAAAAAACTGTTTCAAAATCTATTTTGCCCATTTTGGAACCTACAAATAAACCCTAAATTTGAGATATTTTAGACCAATGAATTTATGATCTTTCAAAATGGAAGCAAAATTGAAGTCGAACTCCTTGTAGATGCATGTGCCATGTGTAGGTGAAATGTCCACGAATGTGTTTCAGTCGGATAAGCATCAATGGCCTCATTATGGCAAGCAACACTTACTGTTGGCTAGAATATTGTACATTAGGCTTGCCTTGAGATCAGGGCAAGATATATCCCTGCAGGTTCAGAAATTGTTTTATAGTATAGAAATATTTCTATATAATATAATTCGTTCACGTGTTATAATTCGTTCGAGTGGATGGTAAAATTAAAATTTCTTATTTTTAAGGTCTAGTATCAATAAATATTTACTTATATTATAACACGTAGTCATACTCTAATATCGCACCATAATTACTTGCTCTAATTAGTGTTTAGGGCCCTTGTTGAAACGGTCAAAAGAAATCTATCTCCAGTCCCCACAAATTCCCTTTTTTGGGATATGATTTCTTAATACAGAAAACAAAGGGTGAGTAGGTCCAGTGCTTAATTGTATCGAGCAAGATTAACTCTTTAAGTATGCTGTGTTCTCCATGCTTGTCAACCAAATGACAAATCTATCCCACTAAGATCAACTGAAACTTACAATTGTATCTTACAAAACTGCATGCCTTTTGCTTTTATGTCTAGAGATGGTGCATGTTACCCACTCTTCCTACAGTAATCAATTACTTTCTGATTTCTTGATAATTCTTCCAAGCTCTTCAGTCACGCAAGCTTTTTTTATTCTTTATTCTTTTTAATTTTCTGTTTGCTTTTCAAATAATTTTTTTATAGTGTTGATGGGAGTTTATTGAGGTATATTAGTTAAGATTATGTTTAAGGGGATTATGAAAGATTTAGAAAATTTATGGATTTGTTTAGAGAGCATGAAATTAAAGATTAAGCATAAAAGTTTTGATATAAGTGATTGTCTAAACTACTCTAAATTAATATAATTTACAAAAAGTGAAATTTAAATTTGGATGCGAGATGCGCTCTCAATGCTCTAACCAATTGACCTGCAAATAGAAAACCATTACATAACACCATCACAACAAACCAATTTTAAGATGATAAAAAATAAATAAAAAACAACGAGGAAAAAGAAATTAAGGTGCCAAAAAGAAACTAAAACTAAAACAAGACATAAAGGCTAATAACAACAACATCATCATCATAAAAATTGAGAATCTACTCATGTCTCGTTTCAATATGCAGATTCTTTGATAAAGAAACTAATAATACTTATAATTGGTTTAGTTGGTCTGCTTGACCTATTCATTCGCTTATTCACAACATCCAATATCTTTGCCAATTGTTTCCATCCAATATAATTGGTTCCAGTGATCTACCTGTGCATAAGAGCGAACAAATAAACGAAAACAACAACTTTACCAAAGAACAATTGAGTGATTTGCAGCAACCTCCGTCAAAGATGATCTAGAATCAAATTTAAAGAACATGAGCGGCGTTAGGGAGCGGATTTCGAGAGTAGGATTTGATTGAGAACATAGACTAAAAAGGGTGATGAAGAACTTCAATCTAACCATGACTGAAAAGACACCACCACAATGAGTTTTTTTTATTTAAAACGCTCCAGTGGACTTATTCACTAACTTAAAAGGAAAAGACGAGAAGAGAGGAGGGGCAATGACGCTTCTTTTTCCTCCCCCCCTCTATGTAATTTTCCTTTAAGACTCACAGAGGAAGAGAGCGGCTAGAATTTAGGAAAAATTCTCTTCTAGTTAATAATTACGCAATGCAAGGACTTCTCAAAAATTTTGAGACAAATTCTACGACTACAACTCATATTATTTCCTTACTACTATAGGGACAGTTGTGTACGTATGTCGACACAACTTTCCTTTTGTTGTACCACATCATCATCATCAAGATGTGGACTTCCAAAAGGTTCTAATGAGCTGTCATAATAAGCTTAACACACTTCTACCACTCACATCCTCTCATATAGTTATCACTTCTTGTTGAGGCAGTTCGAGAATACTTTTGTTCATAAGCGTTATTGTTGAAAACGATGTTGTTAAAAATATAATCTAATTTTAAATTAGTAATTGAAGTGATTTTTGAAAGAAAAAAAAAAGACACTTTTGTTTTTACCATTTATATGTACTTTTAAGTTTGCGCACAAATATTCTTAGAAGAATTTTTACTATTTTAAGCCATTTTAGAAACACAGTCAAATGCGTGAATTAGTTTCTATGTCTTTTTTAAGAGAGGATAAGAAATGAAACTTCATAAATTCATTTATCATGTTTGGTAATACTGAAAAAGTAACCATAAATACCATTTTATTTTCTTGCTCAAATTTAATTTGCGTAGGAATAGGAAATAAAATTTGTTTAAGTTTTCAATTATATCCCTAATTTAGAAAAAGAACACTTTATGTGATTTGTTTAATTTTAATGAGGGCATCATTTTGAAAAAGATTGACTCCTTAAAATTGAGGAGGAGCTCATTTTCAAAGCAAATGAGATTTTGACACTTGGTAATTTCCAAAACAAAGATTAAAATAATTTCGAAAAAAGAAAAAGTTAAATGAAATTAACAAGTATCAAAATCCCATTTGTTTTAAGAAGAAGCTCCTCATTAGTTTTAAGGAGTCAAGATTTGCTCATTTTTTCATGGAAAACGAAAATGAAACCCGAGCTAGATGGAGCGTTTCATAGAGGACTTTTTCTGAAACATGAACTTACCGTAGATGAGAAAGTAAAGATTTGTCATTCCTAAGTTCATTTTCCCGCCAATCAAATGCGACCTTTCCAGGGGAAAATCGTAAGAAACAATGATGGCAATACGAAACACCAGGATTCCTAATCCTATAGGATATTATTCTATTTCTTCCGAGGAAGTACAAAGAATGTGTGGAAATCTCCAAATCCGTAATTAGCGGAGGCTCCCTGAAGCCGCCATCGGAGCGGTAATTCGGTGTGGTACTCAACAAATCACTTGTTTGGCTTTTGGGTTCCCATTATAATTATTTAAATATTTTTTATTAATAACTTATTAATATCTTGCCTCCCACGGGTAATATACAATTGTGGGAATTAAAGAGGATTTCTTTCTTTCTTTCTTCTTTCACTCCCTGCTGACACGTGGATGATACTTGTCACTCTCACCTTAGCCAACCTCATCTCGGGCAAAAGAGTCAGTTCACTGGTTGCAACTGTAGAGAAATTACAGACAACAAACACACTGGAACAGAGAAAAGGGTTAAAGGAAGCGAGCAAAAGAGAGAGAAAGAGAGAGAGAGAGAAAGTCATGGACCTCGTGGTTCAGCATTAGGTAAATGCCTCCAAAAAAGTATGAGATTATCTCTCTTCATTTTCTCAGCTTTGAATTCTCATCTGGGTCGTTGCCATTTTCCCCAAAGCCTTCCATTTTCTTGCCCAACTTCCTGACTCTTACAAAATGGAGTGACTCACTTGCATTTCAGGTTCTGTTTTCTTTTCCATTAACTTTTTCTCAGCATTTCTGAATCTGGGTTTTGGTTATTAGTCTTTTTTGGGGATTGGTGTTGAAATTTTTGTGGTTTTTGGAGTGCATTGGGGTTTGTTATTGTTGCTGTAGTTGATTGGTTATAGGGAGTGGCTATGGAGGGAGGGTGGAGATGGAGGCTATGCAATTTTCTGGTTTTGTGTCTGTTCATGGTGGCTTATGGTATCACTTTCCCTGGTGACCTGAAAATTCTGAATGATTTCAGAAAAGGGTTGGAGAATTCAGAGCTTCTCAATTGGCCAGAAAATGGGGATGACCCTTGTGGCCCTCCTTCATGGCCTCATGTGTTCTGTAGTGGAGACAGAGTCGCACAGATTCAAGTTCAGAATATGGGCCTCAAAGGACCTCTGCCTCAGAACTTCAACCAGCTCTCTAAGCTCTACAACCTTGGCCTGCAAAGGAACAACTTCAATGGGAAATTGCCCACTTTTAGTGGCTTATCTGAACTGGAATATGCTTATTTGGATCAGAACCTGTTTGATACAATCCCTTCTGATTTCTTCAATGGACTTAGCAGTCTCAGGGTTTTGGCTCTGGATCACATTCCATTGAATGCCTCTACTGGATGGTCTCTTCCTAATGAGTTAGCAAAATCAGTTCAATTACAAAATATTTCGTTGATTGAATGTAATTTGGTTGGACCATTGCCTGAATTCTTAGGCGGATTGCCGTCTCTCACGGTGCTACAACTTTCCTTTAATAAATTAACTGGTGAGATACCCCCGAGTTTCGGACAGTCTTTGGTGCAGATTTTGTGGTTGAATAATCAAGATGGTGGCATGACTGGTCCAATTGATGTAATTGCATCAATGCCATCATTGTCACAGGTTTGGCTGCATGGAAACCAATTCACAGGAACAATCCCAGAGAACATTGGGAATCTTTCTTCTCTTAAGGAACTCAACCTCAATGGTAACCATCTTGTTGGTCTGATTCCGCAGGCATTGGCTGATATGGAGCTTGACAAATTGGACCTGGGAAATAACCAGCTCATGGGTTCAATACCGAAGTTTAAGTCTGGTAATGTTACTTATAATTCTAATTCATTTTGTCAACCTGATCCTGGGGTTCAATGTGCCCCAGAAGTTACTGCACTTCTGGATTTTCTTGGTGATTTGAATTATCCATCAAGTCTTGCATCTGAGTGGTCTGGTAATAACCCCTGTGAGGGGCGATGGTTGGGATTGAGTTGCAATCCACAGTCCGAGGTTTCTGTCATCAATTTGCCTAGGCACAAGTTAAATGGTACCCTGAGTCCTGCACTTGCAAAGTTGGATTCTCTGGTCGATGTAAGACTTCCAGGCAACAACATAACTGGTAAAGTTCCTACTAACTTTACTGAGTTGACATCTTTGAGATTATTGGATATAACTGGAAACAATATTGAGCCTCCATTACCAAAATTTCGTGATAGCCTGAAGGTCATCGCCGAGGGAAATCCTCTTTTAGTTGGTAATCAGACTGCACAACCTCCTTTATCTACTAGAAGCCCACCTCCAGACAACAGTTTGCAACCTCCATCAGATAGTCCATCATCAGATAGTGGAAAACCACCAAAATCCCCATTATCACAGAGTCCACCTTCGCCAATTACTCATCCAGACCAGAATCCATCTGGTGCTATCCAAGTGGATGTTCAACCCCAAAGTTCCAAAAGACCCAAACCAGTTATTATCGTTGCTGGAATTGCAGTTGTTGGTGTTGTGGCTTTTCTGTTGATTTGTCTGTCTATATACTGCTGTAAGAAAAGGAAAAACATCTTGGAGGCTCCTGCTTCCGTTGTGATTCACCCGAGAGATCCATCTGATCCAGAAAATTTGTATAAGATTGCAGTTGCAAGTAACACCACTCGAAGCTTGTCAACTAAAACTAGGACTACTGTCAGTCACAACAGTGGTGGAACGGAAAACTCTCATATGATTGAGGCTGGGAACCTTGTCATTTCTGTTCAAGTTCTTCGAAAGGTGACCAAAAATTTTGCACCCGAAAATGAGCTAGGCCGTGGCGGATTTGGAACTGTTTACAAGGGTGAACTAGAAGATGGGACACAATTAGCTGTTAAGAGAATGGAGGGTGGGGTAATCAGTAGCAAAGCATTGGATGAATTTGAGGCAGAAATTGCTGTTCTATCCAAGGTCCGTCATCGGCATTTAGTTTCTCTTTTGGGGTACTCCATTGAAGGCAATGAAAGGCTTCTTGTCTATGAGTATATGTCTCAAGGTGCTCTTAGCCGGCATCTTTTCCATTGGAAGAGCCTCAACCTGAAACCTTTATCTTGGACAAGGAGACTCACAATTGTATTGGATGTTGCAAGAGCGATGGAGTACCTACATAATTTAGCCCGCCAGACCTTCATACACCGAGATCTCAAATCTTCTAATATTCTTCTGGGTGATGACTTTCATGCAAAAGTTTCGGATTTTGGGTTGGTGAAACTTGCTCCTGATGGAGAGAAGTCTATTGCCACTAAGCTTGCAGGGACATTTGGATACCTTGCACCTGAATATGCAGGTAAAATTTTCTTTTCATTCCCCTCTCAGATTTTGTTCTTGCAATAAATTCAGAAATAAGTTCATCTGCTAAAGCATGCAAAAGAATAGACTCAAAACACTAATGTGACTATTATATTGAAATCTTATCTGGTTTACAAATTCACTTAATACAGTACTTCATGACTAGCTAGAATTTTCATGTTTCGTACTCTTAGGTACCCTTTCTTAACTTAAACAGAAAAATAAGGTATATACTTCTGTCACAGTTCTTTAAGTTCTTATGATTTGCGAATACTTACCAGTTGTGATTATAAATTTGTTGGTTGAATTAGGTCTCATATTTTGGAGAGCACGCACTTCTAGAAACAGTAGTCACAAAATGTAAAAAATGTAAAAAAATGAATTACAATATTTCAATAGCGGACTTGAGGAATGCATGAGGAAAAAATGAATTTGTTTCCCCCTACAGTAAAAACGAGATTGATAACTGGCTCAGAACACTTGGTCTGTCTTTTTTTGGGTGAATGTGGTACCAACCTTTGAACCCAAGACCACTAGGAGTTAATGCAAGCGCACTTAACCACAAGGGCAGGTTGAAGGCCAGTCACTTGGTCTGTCTTTAACTCAGTTACCATAGGGTAATTTAGAATTTGCATCTGAAAGAGAAAGATTGTCAGCCGTAGTAAATAAATCTGTATCTGAAATCCCTTATCTTTTCTTCTTATTTTGTGATAATGAAAATGCGATAATGAAAGATTGTTTGCCATTAGAAAGGCTTTAAAATGCAATATCTATTCTTCTTATTTTGCGATAATGAAAATGCTTGGTGCCCTAATACCATAAAGCACACGTCTTGTGGATTGTCCTGTACATGTGAAACATGTCTATAGCTTCTGTAAATACCAATAAATTCCTTTACTTTTTAACCTCAATGAGAGCAAAACTGCCTCCGATTAAGCCCCACGGTGATGAATAATCTACAAGTCAAACTCCATACTGTATCTCTTAGTTCTATAAAGGTGTGTTCGGTCAAAGATCAGAAGGCAATATTAATAGATGTTTCTATTATGTCGTTGAAAAAAGGGCAGATAAATAGTTCTTATCATTACAGGAATATGTTATATAACTTATAATTAATAACTATAGAGTTCACTTGGTATGAGCCTACTGTATCTTACTTTAGTTAAAACTACCAGTAGTTTCCTTGAACACAACTGGTGGGAATTTATGGAATACTCTACTTATGTTTCAATTTTCTAAAGTATTCAACTTGTTATCTACCTGTACATCTGATCTGCCTAAATATCTTACTAAGTCATGATAATTGGTTTCAGTAATGGGGAAAATCACAACAAAGGCAGATGTGTTCAGCTTTGGGGTGGTGCTAATGGAACTTTTGACTGGATTAATGGCACTTGATGAGAACCGGCCAGAGGAAAGCCGATACTTGGCTGAGTGGTTTTGGCGGATCAAGTCAAGCAAGGAGAAACTTATGGCTGCAATTGATCCAGCCCTTGAAGTTAATGAAGAAACTTTTGAGAGCATCTCCATAATAACTGAACTGGCTGGCCATTGCACAGCGAGGGAACCAAGCCATCGGCCTGATATGGGCCATGCAGTGAACGTGTTGTCCCTACTTGTTGAAAAGTGGAAACCAGTTGAAGACGAATCAGATTGTCTTTCTGGGATTGATTATAACCAACCTCTGCCCCAAATGTTAAAGGTTTGGCAGGAAGCAGAAAGCAGAGGGATCAGCTATACTAGCCTTGCGGACAGCAAGGGCAGTATTCCTGCAAGGCCTAATGGATTTGCAGAGTCCTTTACTTCTGCTGATGGTCGATGAGGAAAGCTATAATTGGTAAGTCGAGAAACTATTGGCTATTGTTACATTATCCTCAAATAAATGGCTTATTTTTCTCAATAGATCTATTTTCTACCATATAGGATATGATATTAAGGATTTCCCCTTCGTTCGTGCATACAAGCCAATCTAGTACTCACAGACGCTTCATCGGTATTTTCAGGATTTGTTACCTGAGCTGTAAGAATTGTCTGGCACATCAATGTAGATAGAGCATAGTTGATTCAAAAAATTTGTTTGTCATTTCATGACCTATGGATGTGTTTTCACTTTATATACATGTTACTTTGTAAAGAATTCATTGCATTCTCATTTTAAAGAATCTCACTATATTATCTATGCACACACAAGCGCATATATTGTTCTCTTCTTGCTTGTTGCAAAATGAGGGCAGAGCTAGACAGTTCGGCAATTTTAACCTTCCTACCTAAACTCCGATCCTGTTCCGACAATTTCCGGGAATTTTTAAGTGGGAAATTTACTTGTTCAGAAGAGTCAGGTATTTACCACGTAATCATAATCAACATTATCATTTAAAGAACCTGTAGAAGCCCCGAAACGTGCTGTTTTTTTTAATCCTGGTTCATTAGTTATATATTCATGAGCCAACCCAGTATAAAAATTAAACTGTATAATATACCTAAAAGCAAATCGAATAGTTCTTATTAATTGATGTAGTCACCCTAATGGCTTTGTAAAATTTCGATCCAATTTCATCCTTTTGTTTAAGCGATTGAATGAATTTTCTTCTGTGCTATTGAACACAGGTGTTGCTGATAAAAACTCTTTTGAATAAAGACAACTCATACAAGGCACTCTCAAACATGTGATCAGTTTAGAGTAATTTTTTTTTGTTTACAACGGTTTTGAAAAATCAAAAGAAGAAACAATGTACTTGTTAGACAATAGAGGAATCATGGTTCCACACTTTAATAATTCAAGTTTTATTTATTTATTTATAAAAAATGATATATTAAAATGTCACATAGTGTTATTCGTAGGCAGTAAATTTATACTAGAATATCGTATCAAGAAATGTACATATAATTACTTTATTATAATATGAGTAGACGACAAATTTATACTGTAGAATGTTGTATCAAGAAATATATATATTCACTAATAACATCACGTGTCGGTGTTACGGTCATCAACGATGGTCGAAATCAAATCTGTCATCTAATAGTGAGATACCATACCACTGACCACAGAAATTTAACAGCTGGTTGGTTGGTATGGGTTCTATATATAGGAAACGCCTTGAATTTTCAACCCCTGAATTAGAAGTTGAGTTGGGTGGCATGCACAGAAATAGGCGGCAGCTGGGAAGGTCCACTTTCCAGTCTCATGGTTAATATTTTTGCTTGGTATTTATTGCTGCAGTTTCTTGTTTGCTTTTAATTCCCTAATCAGCCCAAACTTTTAATACGAAAATAACCACGCAGACCTTGCTGGTGGCACTTCCTTGTAATCACAACCACCACGAGTTAACATCAGAGCAATTTTCTAGAAGTGCTTGTATTAGAAAAATATCAAATTATTATTATTAAAATTTAAAGTGCTTTCTAGAAAAACACTTTTCTTGAAGGTGACCAAGAAGCATTTTAAATTTTTCTGTCGCAAAAATCGCACCAATTGCACTCTTAGTGCCCGTTTGAAATTGCTTATTTGGGGTGATAAGTGATTTTTTTTAAAATTTGGGAAGTCCAACTAGTTTGGCAAACTATGAGAAAATCACTTATTATTAAAAATTGCTGTGAGAAAAAGCTATAAAGGAAAACAGCTAATGAGATGCTTTCATTTTCTAATTATGCAGGAATCAATTTTGAAGAGGCACTGAATTTAATGATTATACGGGAAACATTTTCTGATTATGCGGGAATCAGTACCAACAACACTTTTAACAAAAAGTTTACAAAACACCAAACTGCTTTATCTCACAGCTGATTTCTCTCACAGCAAATCTGACAGTGATTATTTTCACAGCATATCACTGCCAAACTGGCCCTTAGGGCTAGCC